GCGCCTTATTAAAACATAACATCCTACTCACATGACTTAATTTGTATAAAGTATGAAAACACAAATTTACAATTATACCACATAATATAATAAACATTGAATGTTAACTAAAACTGCACGTCTACCACAAATTAAGGTATATCTTTATACAATATTTCAATATTTGTAAGAATAGATACTTTTAAAAATTAATCACATACCTATAATAAACAATAAACATTGAATGTATTAAACTACTACTACATAGACATTTCAAACATTTGAATGTTAGTAATATAATTTAAAACAAAAATACAAAATAAATTTATCGGTAGTCACTAGACATTCAATCAAATTTACTCATTTTTCAAATAGCCCAAATAACAAAAAAATATTTTATAAAACACATAGGTACATATATTTAAAAAAACCTTAAAATCAAATTTAGTTAAACTAAAACTGCTACAGTATTAAAATGTATATTACATAGTTAACAATTAAGGATTTTAGCATACAAATATCCACAGGTATATGACATAACAAAAAACCTCTAGATCCTTGCTGTTTTTTCTAATTCCTTCAGCAGGAAATTTTCTGTTCATTGCGTCAAACATATTATTTAATAAAATTGTAAAATGTTGAGTTTCTAATGAATCTTTAAGTCCATAGCAATTTTGTGTACGATAATATTCAATACCCACCGCCATTGAATTACTAAAAATCTATTGAGACATAGTATATTAGTATAAGTAGGTCAGTTGTAAGTAGTAACTAATGAGTTGTATAAAATATTATAATTCTGCCAAAATTTACTTGGGTTGCAAACTTGACCTTCATTTTGGTCAAATTATTTAACTCTATGTGATTTCTAGTAACCTTGGGACATATTTTCAACATGTTTTTCGAGTCATTTTCAAAAACATGACAGTAATGGTCCCATTTTATAAACATCTTCGATGGATGAAGCTAAAAATAATATAGATTTTAAAAATAAATTGTTCATATTATAATTAATCACTGCATTTGTATGATTATTTTGTATTCTTGCCTTCAATTGTTTTTGTTGAAATAATCGATTTCTTATGTTTTTAATAGTATGAGGTGCATCAATAAAAACATATATATTTCTTTTATCATCATATGGATTGATAAAAAAATGTTTTAAATCTGATCGCTTTCCACTAATTCCTAATTCTTTAACTAATGTTTTATTCGTGGATGCACCATCACAAGTGAGTGCCATGACTTGTAACCCTGCATCTTCCAACAAAAGTATGGCTTTGATCACTAACTGTACTAAATCAATCCCTGTTTTAAAATAAGATTAATATAAAAGTTGAAATAAATATTTATTAAATAATATTTTATTGAACATCATGAAATGTAACCAAACCTTTTACTGGACCTTTAGAGGCAAAAATGGCTATAGGTTGAGTAATATTATCTGCCAGACTCTGCCACATGAAAACAAGGCCATGGTCAGCTAGTTCTGGACTTCCAACTTTACTCTCAATTTCCCCTCCAAAATCTTCCTGACCACTGTAGGATAATGTACGAGTTGTAACACTAAGACTTGTCCTTAAGAAAATTTCATCTAAAAGGAGAACTCCTTTTTTTTGCTGTTCACTTTTTTCTTCAAATTTTTTTTTCAACAACTTAAAAAATCCCATATCGAATCCACACTCATGCTTGACCGCTAATAAATGTGTTCGAATAGTTTTAGTGCATGGTAATGGTAATAAGTTTTGCTGTCGTAAAAAGTTATAACCCGATGGAGAACTGCAAAAAACATTGTTAAAAATCAACACAATAGATTAACAACTATGGTAGTAATGATAATTATAATTTGTAATTACCGTATCTGAAACAAAAGACAAAGAATCATCCAACTATCTGAGTAACGCCTATTTTTTTTATTTTTAAACCTTGCTGCTTCAAAAATTTCATGTAATAAGGTTGATTGACATTTAGGAATTTCTGAGTTGTTGATTACTTTTGTCAATATACTATTTGATATTTCATTCATCTGATTTTGTACAGCATTCAAATCTATTTGTAGCTGAGAAATTTTTATATTTGCTCTTCTAACTTGTTGTCTGTTATATATTTTAGTGCGTATTAATTTTTGTAATCTTTGTTTTTTAGATGGTGAAAAAAAAATTTTAATTCCTTTTTTATTTGATAATTGTGCTTGTTTTTTTCTAATAGAGAATTTCAGTCGTGTGCACCACAAACAAATGGAACTGAAAATAAAAATACATATTTTTAAAGACATTAGTTTATTATGTAACTGGAACACATCAGATTTGTATTAGCACTTGCCTTTTTTCAAGTATTATTTTTGAACATTTTGTATGTTTCCAATAACCATTCATAGTTTGATATTGGTAACCAAACGACGCTTTGATATTTGGGTATTTACTAATTAAAACTGCTCCATAACAAACATTTATACCATCAAGAGTTTTAATAAAATCTTCTATATCTTTAATACTTAAAACTTTATGGGATGCCATTGGAAATAATGTTTGTTGTTGTTCAGGGGAGATATTTTCATTAAAAACTTGAATTATAATCAGTGAATCTATAATTAAGATTAATAATCAAATAAACTAATAGTTAAATTCTAATTTATAATGTATTATATTCAATATGAAAAATTAGTCTTTAAAAAAAGGTTACATTACCTTGAGTAATTATTAATTGTTTTTCTATAGTACGTTGGTAGTTAGAATTATAACGCCCTAATTTAAAATAAGATATAGTTAACTTTTTATTGGATTCATTAAAAGAGATATCTTGGAACCACATCGAAGGCAATTGAACAACAGGACTTTTTTCAGATGTTAATATGTAGAATATAGGTTCCTATAACATTTCAGTATATTTACAATGATTTTATTATAAGAAAAATTTCTTATTTAATATCAATAATATTACTCACATAAGGAATATTCTGAGAACATGTAGCATTAGGAAAAATTGTGTTATCTCTTATTTGATTTTGACTTGTAGAAATATTGATCTAATAAAATATAACTTTTATAATTTTTATTACGGTTAATATACATTTTAAAATACACTTTAAACATACATAAGAAATATCTTGAAAACAAGAATCATCAGAAGTCATTGAAATTTCATTTCTTTTATTTTGACACATATATTCGTTGTTCTAAATAATAAAATTAATAATTTTCATTAAGGTAAGCATGAAATTTAAAGTACACATCATTATGCTTACATAAGAATTATCTTGAAAACAAGAATCATCAGAAGACATTGAAATTTCATTTCTTTTATTTTGACACATATATTCGTTGTTCTAAATAATAAAATTTATAATTTTCATTAAGGTAAGCATGAATTTTAAAGTACACATCATTATGCTTACATAAGAATTATCTTGAAAACATGAATCATTAAAAGATGAGATTTCACTACTTTTATCATCTTGACACATAGGAACATCATTCTGTAATTTAATGTTGGGATATAGTTCTGGTAGTTGTATGTAGTACCTAAAGTATCTCATTTAATAAATACTTACATGGGATATGATCTGACTCGATGAATCTGTTTTTATTGATTTAACTGCTGTAGAGGGTTCTTTTTCGTTTTGAAGATTTAAGACAGGTATAGCTCCAGGTTTCAAACGGGGCCTTTTTAAACATATCTTAAATAGAGAAATAGAGAGATGTCAAATGTCAACTATTGATTTGAGTGTAGTTATTATAATATTATGATTGATTTTGACAATAATTCCAAAATTCCAAAATAAGTATGTTTCTACTTACAGAATATTTGCTGTTTCCTTCACCTGATACCCAAGTATCTATTATATCATTCTCTAGAAAATGATCCCCACATATTCTAGATCTCTTATTTAAAGTTTTTCCCAATGACCTTTCCCAACTATCATGTGAAATTGTAGGAATACGAAACCTTGATTTAGATGTCCCTAAACAATTATCAACACAACATTTGTCCAAACGAGCCATCGAAAATAATTAAAACTAACTTTAAGTATTAATAATTGAGTGATACTTTTTAAGTTAATAATCATAACGATAACAATAAACAAAATATGTACCCATATCAATCTGTCATTTTCTTTTAAATTTCGAGGGAAAAATAATATCTTAATTCGTGATTCAAAATGAGCGGGTGATTAAATTAACTGATTATGTCTCGAGATCGCGCTAGTAGTCTGGCCGCAATGTGAGAAGGTGCGGGTTTCACTTATCACAAGTTCGTTTCGTATCCTGTATATCTTAATTCGTGGTAGGTACACATGATAAAAATGTTATCAAATGTTATTTGAATTTTTTTGTATATTTAATATTGTATTGTATTAATTATTAATTTATTTTTAATATTTAAATTAATTGTTGAATTATTTTGTAGATATATTATTATTATCATAACAGAAATAGCTAGGTATAGACAGCTGCAGCAGGTTGACGTAAAAATTGGTGGGTGGCGGAATCGATAGGTTGTTTTTAGAATACCTGAACTGGCGGAGTCGATACTGGCGGAATCGATGCTACATTGGCGGAATCGATAGGTCCCCGATTTTACTTTATTAGATGCGTTTTCACAGATAAATTACTTTCAGTAATTGTTGCGCCAGAATAGTTCATACGATTTTGTAGTCGACTACTCCGACTCGCATAACTAGTCTCGAGGTGGGTGACCAAATAACAGAGTATAATACAACGCAGACTGTATAATATAATAATGAGTGTATTAATCAATATAAATACCGATAAAATAATAAGCAAATAAGGGCGCCCAATAATGTAATAACATGTATAACAAAATAATAATATGATCAATTGATCAATACACAAAAACAATAATTGAAATACGATAATAGATATTAAATTTATTGTGTTGTTTAATTAATCAATCTTTAAGTAAGTACCTACTTATTCATAATAATATTAAATATTAATTCTTATTTGAAGTAAACTGTATGTATGGACTATGGATTAATAATGAAATGCATATTTACAGAAATGACTTCAAAAAGTACTATGATAAAAAGACAAAAGAAAAAAAGCAACAATTATTGTTCCGTATTTGGATGCTTCTCTTACTATTCAACTAACGAGGATATTAGTTTTCATCTTATACCGAAAAGCAACGACCCAAAAGTGTTGCTAAAAAACAAATGGGGACAAGAAGAACTAGTTGACCGCCGTAGAATGTGGGCTATTTTATTACTGTTTTCGAAAGAAGCATTATTGAAAAAACATATTGTAGTTTGTTCAAAACATTTTACCTCAGAGGATTTTCTTACCTTCAGGTTAGTAACATGTAGTTACTATTTATTTTTATGGTGTTAAAATGAATAGATTATTTTTTTTAATATTTTATTTGTAAGTTGATGAATAATCTACCTAATTGAATAATGAATATTTTTAAATTACCTAGGAAGTTGAACATTGTATGGCAAAGCACATTTTTAATAATTATTTTCAAATATCTTTATAATACATTAGGTAGTTGTTTGTATGAAATATTGAAGTTCACTGTATTCATACTATGTGTTACTTATTATACATATTTTTAATATGTAGTACTATTTTCCTTTCAGTGTTAAGTTAGTATAAAATATAGGAATATAGTTGGAACAACTTTATCTACTTGCAGTTTATATTATTATTGGTAATAATTATTATATGTATAAAAAATAATTTACTTTTTTAGGATAAAATAACAAACGCAAACGTCTTAAACCTATGGCAATTCCATCACAAAATTTAACCAAGTCTTCTGTATTGCTTCATTCGCCCAAGAAAAGATCATATCCTAAAAACAAATGTTCACCAATAAACCAACTAGAATCAGAATGTGAAGTGAGTGAATTTTTATCATTGACATTACATTTCATTTTAATAATGACAAATATAAATATAATTATTTTACATTTTAGTTGCTTGTGCTAAATTCAGATGTGGATGAGAGCTGTTTGGAGTTTGTTGGGCAAACAATGCCAGACGATTCTAATGAAAATTACCATGTTAATACTTTGGAGTGTAATGTACAAGATAACATAACTGCTAATACAATTCTCAGAGAACAGGAATACAAATAGCAATTGGAGATTTAAAAACTTCATTTCTATCATTCATAGACACAGTAAAAAAACTGAATACCATGACTGGCATTTGTTCTTTTGAAATTTTAAATGAGATAATAGCCTTACATATGACATATTTTCCAGATAAAAGACAACATACATTATGTCTTAAAGAACGCATTGTTATGGTATTTGTTAAATTCAAGCAAGGTTTATCTTTTGCAATTTTGAGTATTTTATTCAATGATTTTTCTGCAGAAAGTTGTAGACTAACTTATAATTCTTTGATTCCTCAACTGGCATATATATTTAAATCTTTGATCTATTGGCCTTCTAGGCAAGAAAATTCAAATAATACACCCCATTGTTTTGAACAGTTTAAAGATGTGCTAGTTGTATTAGACTGTACAGAAATATCATTGCAAAAGACCTAAATGTTTGACTTGCCGTATAAAGTGCTATAGTAACTACAAGTCTACATTTACATTAAAATTGTTGATAGGAATTTCTCCAAGTGGTCTTATAACATATATCAGTAAGCCATATGGTGGTAGGGCTTCTGATAAAGCCATATTTGAGCAAAGCAATCTTATTGAATTAATGCAAAAGCCTGATGCTGTTATGGTTGACAAAGGTTTTTTGATTGATGATATTTGTAAAAAAAAATATATAACTATAATAAGACCACCTTTCCTTAAAAATCAAAAGCAATTTTCTATGGAAGATGCTTTGTTGTCTAAAAATATCGCTAAAGCTAGAGTTCACATTGAACGAATTAATCAGCGAATAAAAACGTTTAATATTTTTTGTCATACCTTTCCATGGGCTCATATACATTTAGCTTCGGACATAATGACAATAATAGGTGGTTTATGCAATATAAGCCCACCAATATTTTCATCAGACAAATTTAAAAAATAATATGTACAATTTAATATAATATGTATAATTTAATATAATATAATATATTATAATAATTGTATATAATATTTAAAATGTTAGTTTCACTCACATCCTACTTAATTTGTAATTAAGAACATTTTAATGTTAACTAATTTGTACGATGTGATGTGAGCGAAACGCGTACTCTTAGAAGACGGGACCGCCGTACCGCGGGCCCGGACGAGAACATTTTAAAACATGCTACGCCAGCTCATTTAACCATTGATTTGCGCATGCGTGTGGACTTGGCGTGTGATTTTCAATTCATGCATCGGCTGGCTATCGTGAATATTAAAACACTAATTTGGAGACTATAGCCAAATACGAAGCGTCGGTCACATTGATGAACGTAAATTATATTGTAAAACAAAAAAAGGTTAACCGTTCGGCCATTTGAATACTTGGGCAAACGACGGTGGTCGGTTTGCGCAACAGGTACAAAATTAGGTATACAGCCAAGTAAAATGGACTTACGTTATCCTTAAGTATTTTGTAGTATACTCTATTCCACGAGAGTTGACCCACTTGCGAGCATGCTTACTGAGCCGCCGGCAGTGTTGCTGTTTTCGAGACTATAAAATAAGTTATAGTGGTCGACAAAAAAAGCTAGATATGGCTAAATTAATGTTTTTTAATATAATCTACCTATGAAGGCCAATAAAATGCCAACATTTATAAATGTTTTTTTTTTTTTTTTTCCGTAGTGTTTTTGTTGTGAAATGATAAGCTTAGGTCTATTATATTTCTATTAAATCTCCAAGGAGGTAGCTTTAATTCTGTGTTTTGGATTATATTATTGATGGTAGTTTCGTTTTTTTTAATAAAATCTTGTTGTCTTTCATATAGTGGATTGAAATGAGATGCAATTATTGGCTGTACCTGAAAGGTTTTTTTTATGATTTTATTGTATACGGGATTATCTTGATGTTTGGACATTTTTATTATGTACTTGGTTTCGAGATGTTTTCTTCTTAATGAGAGGGGTGGTTCGCCAGCCATGCAAAGTAAGCTTGTGACTGGGCTACTTTTAAATGCACCTAAAGTTAAACGAATGGCGTAATTTTGGATTGTATTTAACATTTGTAAAGTTCTATAATTAGCCGATCCGTAAACTATAGAACCGTAATCGATTTTAGATCTAATTATGGATTTGTATATTTTAAATAGACTGTCTGAATCACAACCCCAATCAGTATGAGCTAATGTTTTTAATATTTTCATTGATTTGAGCGTACGGGTTTTTAACTATTTGATGTGCCTTCACCAGTTGAGTTTTTTATCGAATATTAAACCTAGAATTTTAACATTGTCGCTATAGTCGAGCGTTTTATTTTCAAATTGGATATTCGGTTTCACTATTTTCCTTTGGTGGGTGAATAGTATACATTTAGTTTTATTTGGAGAGAAAGAGAAACCGGTTTCGAGGCTCCATTTACTAAGCTTATCGAGTGTGAGTTGTAATTGGTTTTTAATTGAACTTACATTTTTTCCTTTACAATAGATCAGTGCATCGTCAGCAAAAAGTTTTATCATTGTGGGTGGCGGTACTTGTGTTGTCATTTCATTAATTGCGATAAGGAATAGTGTTACGCTAATTGATGAGCCTTGTACTACACCATTTTCATTTGCAAATGGATCCGATAGTGTACTTTTAATTTTAACTTGAAAAGTTCTTTCTCGTATATGGTTGTTTATGAATTTGAGCATGTTTCCATGAATGTTCAGTTTTTGTATTATTTTTAAAACCCGGTGTCTCCAAACGGTGTCGTAAGCTTTTTTTAGATCCAGGCTGACAAGTATTATGTTTTGTTTGTTTACTAATGCATCGGCGATGTCGGTGTGTAAGCTGACCAGAATATCATTTGTAGATCTATTTTTTCGAAAGCCGTGTTGGTGGGGTGACAGCAAATTATGTTTTTCAAGATACCATATGAGTCTGTTATTCACCATTTTTTCTATAATTTTACTCATCGTATTTAGCAATGATATGGGCCGGTACCCTTCAGTGGTGTGCTGGTCTTGATTCAAGTCCATGGACGAATGGCAAAACATCTGGACCAATTGCAATAATAATAAACTAAGAGAAATAAAGCAATCAGTATTACCCTGGCCCAAACCATTCATAATGTCCAGAAGGGACGAGGTAATCCTAGTCCGCCTGCGGATAGGTCACACCCGCATGACGCACGGTTACCTCATGGCCAAAGAGGACCCTCCCACATGCCCTACATGTGGAACTCTAATGTCAGTCAAACATATTATCCTCCTTGAATGTCACCAGGTCAATGAAACACGTATCCAACAGGAACTTCCGGGGACCCTATATGAGATACTTGCACCCACTCCAGAGGCGTCCGAAAAACTTATCAACTTCGTAAACAGAACAGAACTGCGGCACCTCATTTAATATTATTTAAAAAATGTATATATTATATAAGATTATACATTAAGTATAGTATAAGTTAAATCATTAAGTAACTAATTTAATTGTGTTTTAATGTAACGTAATATTGTAAACCCTATGATTAATGTAACACAGGCTAATAACCTTGCAGTTGATGCCTTTAAAAATTAATAAAAAAAAAAAAAAAAAAATGCCAACAAAAAATAAAATGTATTTAATGCATATTAAATTATAAAATATATTGGTATCACAATTATTGTGATTACAATTGATTACAATTTTACAGTACAATAATTAAGACAATTATAGTGATTAAAATATTAAATGTTTAGGTAGGTATAAGGTAGGTAAAAAACAAAATTAAAAAAAAAAAAAAATAACATGTCAGTCTTTTATATAATATTATGTAGAAGACTAGATTAATACATTTTTAAAACATGAAACCTAAGTATTTAAAACAACGAAATAAGGTAGGTGAATTTTTCATCAATAAATATTATAACCATAAACAATACCTACTAGTTTAATACTTTTAAAAAAAAAATTAAACATAATACACATAGGTATCTTTTAAAGTATATTGAGATCTAAGTGAGCATCTACGATACATACAAAGTTCATGATAAATGATAACAATTTATGAATATTAAATATCTTTATTATAATATAAAATTATATCATTTTAATGACCAATAGCTAGAAAAAGCCAAGTTTCAATGAAAAATAAGCTAGAATATAGGCTATTGGCTAAAAGCTATAATTCGTAGCTAGACGGGTTTCTAAATAAGCTAGATCTAGCCATACAATGACTAAAGCTATGTCCTAGCTGGTTTGCACGCATGCGGGGAAAAACAAAATTGCTTGTATTTCGCCGCATGCGGGCAACGCATCGCGTGCAGAACAGCATGGTCAGTATATAAAACGCACGCACTCGCCCGCACTATACTCTATTCCAAACCGAAACTGAACCGCTTTCGCGCACGCAGACTGAGCCGCTGAACAGTGCCGACCCCTCATGCGATGGCTATGCTTTCTGTGATTGGCGGACAGTGATCGCCGGCCGTCGTCGGACGTCGGACGCCCGTGTCAAGACTCCCACTGATGTCCGGATTGTGGTGGAAATGCGCGGAAAAAACATGTTTTGGTCAGCCGAGTGGTTCACTCTTAGATGGAACAGAGTATAGCTAGGACACAGGGTAAGACGGCAACACTGTCCGTGCGCCGGGACATTCAGACCACCCGAGTAGGAGACCGGTGGTCTGTGATTGGTCTACGGGAGTGTAGTGTTCGGCGATCTGCATTGCTCGTAGAAGTAAGCATCTGATATTGGCGACGATCACCACTAGCGCTCCAAAGACGTGCTGGCCTACGCGGCCGCGACCAATTTTCGACGAGCGAGTAGGTCAACTATCGTTCAATACTTCCACTGTCGACCATTCACTATCACTCTTCACTCTTGACTATTTTTCGCCAGAAGTTCTGGTCGGTTATTGACTCGATGTCAGCTAAACATCGCGTCAGCATAATATATATTTCATATTTTTCGTTACTCGGCATACTAGCCTTGCTAGACGTAGGGAGTAATGTATGATGTCGATGACGACATGTTCGTTACAATAGTGTATAGTACGGCTTGCCACGTTCACTACTGGTTCCGAGATTCTCCACAATTTGTATTCGTTGTTACAGGAATCGTGCGAATCTCTTCAGGAAAAAATAGAAACAGAATGTGTATATGGTCGGCAATGAACGTTTTACATCACTTTTTTACAGGTTAGGTCTATCGGTGCGGGCTTGACGGCGTCAATAATTCAAGATAATTTAGTTTGTAAAATTAATGCGGCGAAGTTTTTTTCGGTTCTCGTTGACGAAACTACCGATATATCACGCATAGAGCAATTGACTCTTTGTATTAGATATCTAGATTCAGTAGAGACAACTGATACTATTAATTATGTTTTACATGAAGACTTTTTACAATTTGTACCTGGTCAAAACCTAGCTTCTGTAATAATAAATTCATTACAAGCACTTGGAATCAACGATAAATATAGGGTCGGTCAGGATTATTTGAAATTTGAAAGAACCCATTGTTGAAACTTTGGAAGAATTACAATTAGTTCAAGACATATCAAAAGCACTTTAATTTTATCGAGCAATAATTACTAGTGAATTTATATTAAGTATGGTTACATCAAATACTCTGTTTTCAATGACACTGCCACTATGTAAAAATTTACAATCTGTTAGTTGAGACTTAGTAGAAGCTGTAGAACACACCGAAACAATACTAAATGAATTAATTCATTTACGTGAAAATATTGATACCTAGTATATTTGATGATATTTTTGAAAAATCTGAACTTCTTTTAAAATCTATTGATGGTGCAGAAAATATTAAAATTCCTAGAATAATAGCTTGTCAAAAAAATCGTGTGAATATTAATACTAATTGTCCGAAAACATATTTTCGTATCATCACTACACTTTTTACTTCCCAATAAATGCATTAATTCTGAATTAGAAGCAAATGATTTCGAATTGTACTCAGAGTTTTTAGATTTGGATGCACTTTTAAATGAGTTAAAACTTTGGAAAAGAAAATGGTGTGATAAACCAATAGTAGAGCGATCTCCTGAAATGCTTGAAGCATTATCAAATTGTAATCAAACTTTTTTTCCAAATATTTCATTTTTATTAAAAGTTCTAGCAACTTTACCAGTAACTATGACAACACCAGAAAGAACTTTTTCGATGCTGATAAGAATAAAAAATTACTTAAGAAATGCAACTGGAGAAGAAAGATTGACTGACCTAGCATTACTCAGTGTACATAGGAATATTGTTGTAGATCCAGAAGAAGTTATTAATCGTTTTTCAAATGAAAAACAAAGAAATATAGAGTTTTTTGTATAAATATTTTCAAAATTAAATGCATAGAATTAAGTTTAATAATTATTTTAAAATCTATCAATAAAAATATTTAAATGTAAATTTCATTAATTTATATTTTAATATTATTATTTAAAAACAAATTATATTTATATTATTAGTAATATTATGAACTTAATGCTATGTTAAATTACCTAAATAAAATATTATAATAAAATTAGAATAGGTACATATTTTTAGCTTAACCCCCCCCCCCCCCCGAAATTAATTTCCTGTTACGGCCTTGTAGTAAGTATTAATTGATGTATTCCTGATCAATAAAAAAATATAAAACTGGTTGTCAAATATGACCAACTATCTATAACGAGTAACGACCAATCATTTTGATTAACACGTTGACACAAGCCCGCCGGCGACCCAAGTGATGTCTTTTATTGTGAAGCCATTTGGGTCGCCGGCGACCTAAATCATATTATTAATGTGACGCCACTTGGGTCGCGGGCTGCCAAATTTAACATCAACATTAAATGTATCTAGTTCTTTACGGCTTGGAGAGAACAATATTTCAATTGGACCATGGCGTAGACAAGACGATTTTGATCATTTTTTAAAAAAAAAAAACAATAAAATCCTTCAACTTTAATACATTTATATTTTATACAAAAAAATTTGAAATTTGAATTTCTAAGAGTATTACATAGTAGTATAAAACGTTAAAATTTAAATTTAAAAAATAAAGAGGTACCATAGATAAATTGATAAAAAAAAATTCACTTTAAATTACTTTAAATTAAAAATATAATATACAAAAATGTAACAAAATTTTATTCATACATTTTGTTTTTTTAAATGGTCTTGAAAACATTGTATGCAAACCGATGGTTTTGATGGTAAAAGGTTGTTACTTTCTTAGCCTTGTTTAAAGCTTCCCTAGAAATAATAAATTAAAAATCAAAAATTCATATTAATTTAAAAAAATTTAATTTGAACTTACTTGTATCCTAGTTCTTTTGAAAATGTTGTATAGCATTCAATACATCTTTTTCTTTTTTTTCTGTTCCTTGAACATTTTTCTTCTGTCTCTTCGAGCTTATGGTTTTTTATTTGTCGTCTTTTAAATCTATTTTCAAGAGGTTGTTCAGAATTTGAAACACGTAAAGATGTAGGTTCTAATTCAAGGAGTTTATCTACAAGCACTTCACGAAATTTATGCATGGTAAGTTTATTTCTAAAATTTTGTTCATTATATATAATTTGAGAATTTACTACAAATGTATTTAAAATTATCTCAGTTGCTACTTTGTGATACCACCGAACATTCTTTCTCATAGGAGTGCAGTAAGACGCTAACTGATCCGATAAATCAATTCTTGCTTTTCGGGCATTATAGAATAATATTATATCTGGTTTAAATATATCTTCATGATTCCTATTTTTTTCCCAGTGTTTGTCATATTTAATTGATGTCGCGTTGAAAGTAAGTGAATGTCGCGTTTATCTTTAAATTTAAATACTACTAGATCTTCTCCTACTCTAATATCTCTCCGAAAAATATAACTTTTAGATTTTAATTAACTTGTTCTAATGAAACCCAATTGCATGTACTACAATCGCCATATAGTTATTATCTGTTTTATTTTGTCATTAATAATGATTATTTCACACTATATTTACGTAGACTTTGGATCAATCTGTATCCACCATTCATTATTTAACTCAATTTATATATATATATATACTACTACACTAATATAACTTTATTTAAAACAAAAATAACCATCTCTTTACATCACAATTATGGCTCATAATAATATATTATTTAATAATT